AATACCTAAGAGATACCTGAAGCATTTTATGCTACCCCTTGCATTTGGGCTGCAGGTAGTATACTTTTCAGAGACAAAAGTGCAAAATCCCACCGGTTTCTACGTGTGCTTCTATAGCTGTGTTTAATATGTTGTCATTTTAAAAGTATTAATTTGGAGTTTTCAATCAGTTGAAACTAAGCTCACTCTAGGTAAAAATGTAAAAGAAGCAGCATAACTGTAAAACCAGCAGGTTGTTACTACAAAATGGGTGTGAGGAAGAGGGATTTATAGTATTGGCACAGGCAGCTTTTCTCTCCGATTTCAGCATTCTGGTTTAGAAGAGAAAAACGTAAATGTGTTCCTCTGTTTAATGCCCTTGCACAATTTATTAGGGGCAGACAGCAAACTACTAATTTGAAGGGTTGATTTCACCATCATTTCAACAACATTTTCCTTTCAAGAAAAAAGATTTTTATCTGAGGTACTAGTCAAAATACTTAAATAAATTGAACAAAATAGAGAAAACTTTACTAGCCGAAGTAATTAAAACCATAAATAGGATCATTCTAAATTGCACTATGTAGAAAAAATATGGTCACTGTGAATATTTTAGTCAACACAGCTATGTTTTGCTATAAATCAGATTTGTTTAATCTTCTGTCCTAATGCATAAAACATCTACTGCAGGGGATAGCTGAAACTGGATGCTTAGGGAGAGGAATTATTTTAAAGTTGATAGGGAAGAGACATTGCAACTGTATAGGTTTTCCTTTACGCTTCTTATATATAAGTTACTGAAAGGATTAAAAATGGTATAAAGGACAAAGGAGATGTTATCCTAATAATGTAAACATAATCTTAATAAACCGTATTTTTTGCTATCTGAAGTGCAGCTTTCAGGAGTAATTAATATTTGTTGCTACTTCACCGATACTTGCCTGCTAACATATATATCCTTTTTTTTTTAACAAAATTTTCTGAAAGGATATCTTTGTGGTGTTGAAAAATGATTTCCAGTAATAACCCTTGGTATTTACTGTCTTGCATTTCTAATGTTGTTTTTTCAACATTATTTTTTCTGAGGGCTTTTTTTCCACTCCTTGTAATAGTACTTTAAACGGCTTCTTTCTTTGATACCTTTAAACCTCATAGGAATTTAAATAGGCCCCTGTGAAAGTAATGCTTGAGCCTCATTCATATGTTCAGGTTAGATCATTATTCCTATTAATGGCTTTAAGTGCTTAGATAGTAGATCAGCCTTTTGTGTCTTGAATTGCTTGTCATTTCTGCATAAATATGTTTCAAGAAACTGTTCCACATGATTTTTTCCTCCTTTTATTTTTTTCAGAAGCCAAGTGTAATCATATTGTTGGTTTGCTGGTTGGTGGAAAAGAAATTCCATTGTTTTTGCTAAGATTAAAATATATACCGAGTTCCTGGAAATGATTTGTAAAGCTGGACAAGCAACTGTTAAAGTGAATTTTTCAAAAGGCTGCTCTGTGAATCAGAAGTGCAGCTGTTTTAACCTTCTCTTGTTCTTGTTGAAAAGGTCATCAAGTCACATAAGGAAGAAAGTTTCAGAGACAAAAGTGCAAAATCCCACCGGTTTCTACGTGTGCTTCTATAGCTGTGTTTAATATGTTGTCATTTTAAAAGTATTAATTTGGAGTTTTCAATCAGTTGAAACTAAGCTCACTCTAGGTAAAAATGTAAAAGAAGCAGCATAACTGTAAAACCAGCAGGTTGTTACTACAAAATGGGTGTGAGGAAGAGGGATTTATAGTATTGGCACAGGCAGCTTTTCTCTCCGATTTCAGCATTCTGGTTTAGAAGAGAAAAACGTAAATGTGTTCCTCTGTTTAATGCCCTTGCACAATTTATTAGGGGCAGACAGCAAACTACTAATTTGAAGGGTTGATTTCACCATCATTTCAACAACATTTTCCTTTCAAGAAAAAAGATTTTTATCTGAGGTACTAGTCAAAATACTTAAATAAATTGAACAAAATAGAGAAAACTTTACTAGCCGAAGTAATTAAAACCATAAATAGGATCATTCTAAATTGCACTATGTAGAAAAAATATGGTCACTGTGAATATTTTAGTCAACACAGCTATGTTTTGCTATAAATCAGATTTGTTTAATCTTCTGTCCTAATGCATAAAACATCTACTGCAGGGGATAGCTGAAACTGGATGCTTAGGGAGAGGAATTATTTTAAAGTTGATAGGGAAGAGACATTGCAACTGTATAGGTTTTCCTTTACGCTTCTTATATATAAGTTACTGAAAGGATTAAAAATGGTATAAAGGACAAAGGAGATGTTATCCTAATAATGTAAACATAATCTTAATAAACCGTATTTTTTGCTATCTGAAGTGCAGCTTTCAGGAGTAATTAATATTTGTTGCTACTTCACCGATACTTGCCTGCTAACATATATATCCTTTTTTTTTTAACAAAATTTTCTGAAAGGATATCTTTGTGGTGTTGAAAAATGATTTCCAGTAATAACCCTTGGTATTTACTGTCTTGCATTTCTAATGTTGTTTTTTCAACATTATTTTTTCTGAGGGCTTTTTTTCCACTCCTTGTAATAGTACTTTAAACGGCTTCTTTCTTTGATACCTTTAAACCTCATAGGAATTTAAATAGGCCCCTGTGAAAGTAATGCTTGAGCCTCATTCATATGTTCAGGTTAGATCATTATTCCTATTAATGGCTTTAAGTGCTTAGATAGTAGATCAGCCTTTTGTGTCTTGAATTGCTTGTCATTTCTGCATAAATATGTTTCAAGAAACTGTTCCACATAATTTTTTCCTCCTTTTATTTTTTTCAGAAGCCAAGTGTAATCATATTGTTGGTTTGCTGGTTGGTGGAAAAGAAATTCCATTGTTTTTGCTAAGATTAAAATATATACCGAGTTCCTGGAAATGATTTGTAAAGCTGGACAAGCAACTGTTAAAGTGAATTTTTCAAAAGGCTGCTCTGTGAATCAGAAGTGCAGCTGTTTTAACCTTCTCTTGTTCTTGTTGAAAAGGTCATCAAGTCACATAAGGAAGAAAGTTATTTAATTCACGAGAGAAAAGTTATGCTATTTGGTTACTTAAATTGCTAGTAGCCGTACAACCATCGGTTATCCTCATCGCGTCAGTTTGGATTTGATTATCATAGAAATGCATTGAATTGCCAAACTAGAGCAATAGTAGCTAAAGCTGATTCATTGTTATTGCTGTCAGTTGATGAGGACTGACTCACAAGCCATATGAATGGGTAGAGTTATGCAAATATTGTTCTTACAACAAGAGAAGAAAAATGTACAGCGGCCGTTACAATGTGGGTGGTAGAATAGATGAGAATTTTTTAATACTTGTCTAATAGCTTTTAGTTGTTTCATTTTTTCATCAACATTACAAAGAGGGTATCTTTGAAATATGTTTAATGTGTTTCCAGAGAAAGGAAATGAGACATTTCATACAAGATTAAGTCTGACAACATGAAAAGATCTGGAAATTCCCAGCCTTAAGTTTGACCCCAGAGACCATCCTTAACCTCTGATTTCCGCCACCTCTTCAAATCTTCCTCTCTCTTTTTGTGCATATGCAATATTTTGATTATTAAAATGCAAATCCGACCTCCTCCTCTAAAAATCAGAATGTTTATCAAGGGAGGAGGGTTTACAGCAGTTCTCAAAAATCAGAAGATAAATTGTGGATACTTCAGTCCATATTGAAATTAGGAAGGAAAAGATAGCACATGTGAAAGTGAAAAAGAGCTGAAGAATGACTCCCTCAGAAAAAGAATATACTTTCACCTGTGAACAACTGTTTCAGAAAGGTTAGTGCATAGTTCATTAAAACTGTATTTACTACGAACAGGACTTGAAGAAGGCAGATCAGGATGCAAGGCCTATAAATGGATAAATCTTTAAGCAAATACTTGAAAAGTATTTAGAAATGCTTTATACCATACCTCTGATTGTTACGCAGAAAAACTGAGTGGTATTTATCATTTTCTTTTTTCTTATACTAGAAATGGATTATTTTAAACCATTTCTCTTCATAAATATACATATATATGTGCATGTGTGTGTGTGTGTGTGTGTGTATGCGTCTCTGTAGCTATTATTTTGGTTGAATCCATATGCAATTTTTTTTTTTTACTTTAAAAATATCTACCTAAACATTTCTATTTTCAATTAATGTCCTTCACGATTCATTAGTTTAATCAAATATCTTTATACATATACAGTGGTCCACACTTAAATCAATGTTTGATGGAATATTAGATCCAAAAACGATGATTTCAGTACTACTGAAGGCAGTGGGCTCCAGTGAAATAGTTACTTTGTGGCAGAGGTGGAGACTAATAAATAGCTTCTGGTTTCAGTATTAATTATATACATTATATTACCAGAGAACTGTTCCTTATTCAGGGCCTCTGGTTTGAACAGGGTGAAATTTAGAGAGGAAAAAAGGTTCTGAGTGCCATCTAGTGGCCACGTTTAGGCCGTCTGACTAAAAGTAATTCTTTGCTTAACCAAGGCTTAAAGCGCTAGTGCTGCATTCATTTCAAACTGTAAGCTAAGCTCATAAGTTATCCTTATTTTTATCGTTTCCTTTGAAAACTTCTCATTTTAGTTTAATGATGATAAAATTCTGTATCTGAGTTAAAGGAAGGACAAAACTAGATCTGGATCTGAACTTTCCGAAGAATTGGAAATCTAATTAAACACATTTTCACTGCAGCCATCCGTCCTATCTCGTTGTGGAAGAACACTAGCCACTTTCTATAACCGTGGAGTAGACTTAATGTTAACACTTCTCATTATTTTAAGACTTCACTTTTAGGAACCATGGTCCTGGGAAAAGAGAAATTATTCTTTAGATTTTTGATCTTCGTTAATAAAAATGCTTCTACTCTCTGCTTTAAATTGCCTCAGAAAGTTCCAGCAAGGGATGTGTGTGTATATTTATTTATTTATTTAAATTGTAACACTTTTTTTTTTTTTTTTTAGAAAATCCAAGACCAGTGACTCACCAATTCCAACAGAATTTAGATTATTACAAAGCACGTGGTGCAGACTTGATGAATAAAACCCGGTAAGCTATTTCTGAATATGTTTTCACTGCACTAAGACCTTACATAAACAAAATGTTGAATAAATTTCTTTTATCCCAAATAAGAATTATATAAGCAGTATTAGAAGCACAAATGTTTATTGTGTGAAATTTGTTTTGAATCTTTACATTGCCTGTTATTACATGAAGAATGAAGGCTTTGCAGGTAGTGCTATATTCAGCTCACTGGCATTTTTCTTTTAAGGCTTAGGTTGTCTGTACGCAATGATGTGTATGCTAAAAGCAGGGGATAAAACGGAGCCAGTGTGGGTTCTGTAGCTGAACTACTTCTGATGCTGCCTCTGGTAGCAATCTGCAGTGTCAATTCACCAGAAGCTGTGTAAGTTAAATGAAATCAATATAAATTCAGTTTCCACTAATTTTTACTAAACCTTTTTGCAGCATTTGTCCCTTCTTTTAGAAGTGGTTTGCATCAATGCTGCTTAAATTCCTTGTCAAGTTAATTTGAGCTGTTGGTAGCCGGTTTGAAGGTGCCTGTAGGATGAGTGGGTGGCCTCGACATCCGTGCCCACTGCTGGTGGCTGTTGCCTCTTGGCTGTGGGACAAGGCAACGTAGCAGCGCCTTGCTTTGGTCGGTGCAGTCACAGTCCAACAAATGGAGCCTAGGATTGCCTGGCGCCCCCAAGCATGCCGTGTGCACGCTGATTTGCAGGAACTCACTGACTTTAAGACACTTGTGCCTCTGTCAAATGCAGTTCAAATCAGTTTAAAATTAGTTAAAAACTAAAACCGAGTCAATTAAAAAGCCTTTACAAATGGAATAAGGGACAGAAATTGATGTTAAATAGAGTGACTGCAAAAGCCTCTTTTTTTTTAGGAAAATCAGGCTTTGAAGTTGGGAGGGTTGTGGCAAAAATTACTATATTTCATTGCATTTGTTTAATGTTGTTTTTAAAAATTTTAAGAAAAACTGTTGTCAAAAGCTGTCAAAAAATGAAGAATAATTTATTTGAAAATGCTAAAAGAGACAGTGCAAGGATTTTAAAAACAAAAAACCACACGAAGCCCAAACAAGAATGGCGCGTGTTGGAAACATAAGTTCTGAGGGAACAATTGGCCACTAAATCTAGGTAGGCAGGTAAGTTCATTTGCACGCATGTATGCAGGATACACACTAGGGAGAAGGGGAGGTTGTTTAGAGTAATTCAGATTGGGGAATAACTGGGAAAAATTCATTTCAACCCAGGAACATTTAGAGTAGGTCAGATGTGAATCTGTTTAAGATTGTATGAAACAGAGAACTGGAAAATATAACATTAGGAAATGCTTTTGCAGTGAACAGAGAGATGGATTAGATAACAATGTAGTAATCCTCTTCAGTTCACCGATTCAATAATGCACTGAAATATCTTCATAAACCTCTTAATATATACTGCTTATTTTGTCACTTATATAAAAGTTTTTAATCTGTCATATTCATAAATTGGTCTCTCATTGGCTACTTACTGACGAGAAAATGCCTTTGAATAAGGCTTACTTAAAACAAAACATTTCCATCTTAGCAGAAAACTGCAGAGATTGACTCATCTTCCTACAGCAAGTTTAAAAATATGCCATTCATAGTCAAGGTCAATGATGCTTATTGTGATGAAACAAAATTGTTTGCTTCATAAATGGAATTCACGTCCCCTTGATGTTCATGTTTTTAAACGGATGCCTTACTTTTAAATGCATCTGCTGATAACTCTACAACATAATCAATCAGCATTTTCTTGTAATTGTTGTGCATGTCTGGTACATTTAGATGGCTAAAACGTAGACATTGATCCATGTTTAATGGATCATTAACTCTAATCATCCTTTGCATTAATATATCAGACATTTAAATGATAAGAAATAGATCCATTGTTCTTATTTTCCTGAACTTCAGTTTAGTTTTACTTTTTCCAGAGATCTAGCACCTTGCTATTGTTCATTTTCTGAAGCTGCAGTTTATAATAAATCGCAGAGTAAATTCTACTTAAGGATGCTTTTATTAAAGACCATCTTTTCTTGACAAGAAATTTAGATAGCTCGTTATCAGTCAGTTCATAGTAGAGCCAAATCACATATAAGTTTTTGAAGCTGGAATAACTATCCTTTCTAGATCTCAAATAATTTTAAAACAGTATTGCATATTACTGTGTAAAGCCTTTTTAAAACGTGTATTTTGGACATACAGCCTAGAAAAGGTTTTTTGGTGTTTATTGTTCTGTAAAGTGAAGCATCTCAGAAAGTCTCTTTTCAGCCATCTGAAAATACAAATAAATTAGCATCTTCTGGGTCTATGTATGTGTCAAAGCAACAAATAGGACAGTGTAGAAGGCGAAGTAATACTTTTTGTTAGGCAAGCATATAATGAAAAGAAAACTGGTGGGCATACATATCCGAATTCCGACCAAGGGCTTCCATACCTTAAAGCTTCCATGAACTCCAAATTTTATTCTATTCTGCATGAAAGGTATGCCCCCCTGTAACTTTATCTCATATATCTGTAGGCCATTGTGTTTCCAGTGATGCTGTTAACTCAAAGCATCCAGTGTCTTTGTGGCTTGGATAGCCTGTCAGAGAAAAAGATTTGCTTTCAGTAAATACCGTGTTTTATGCACAGTCAAGCTTCTTTTTATTGACAGTCAAAGACTCCAGACTTGGAGGCAACACAAACTCAGGACGCAATGTGTAACCCATTATCTTCCTTCTAAAGTGATGTTTCAGGTGATGTTGGAGGTGCATTTAACACCTCATCCTAGCTGATTAGTTTTAGAGGATTGAGGGGAAAAAAAAATGCCAGATATAGTATACTCACATTCAGATTTTGAATTGTAGCACAGTTATTTACTGGTGCAGTCCTCGAAAACATTGATGCGAATAGGTTCAGTTGCAGACTGTTGCTATCTGCTTAGGCAGTATTTGACATTTCCTCTTTCACCTTAAAAGCTATAAACTATGTTTTCTATCTGGGATGGAGAAGGCATTAAACTAAAGGCCCTGTGCTGACTCTTTTAATGCCACATATATGTAATGGAGTAGAAAAAATTCCCTTCTTTTCCTTAAGTGTCTCTGCAGTACCTTGGGGAACTGATTAATAACTGAGTTTGATAGGTAGTAGCAGAGTGAAATTTTATAAGAATAAACATTATAGCATATCCTGTTCTATGAAATCATTAGGACTATTGAATTTGCTTCTGGGGCCATTTGGGACTCCTGCAAGGGTGTTTTGTAGTTCTGAAGATATTCCTTCTGTAGTTACTTTGTCAGTCATTCTGGGGTGACTACAGAAAGACATTTTATAATACCAGTGACAGTCAATAAAATGGGGAGACGGGAAAATGTTCTACAATGAATATTCAGCAGTCATTCCTTTCCAGCTCCCCTAAGTTGGGAAGCAGCAATAGGAAGGGGGAAGACTAGCAGGAGACAAGCCTTAATGCCGTTTGCGTCTCAGTCTCTGCACTGCTATTCCTTCTGAAAAATGCTACATGCTCTGTTTCTTCATCACCGATATGGGCAAGAAGGGCCCCCAATGGCTTAGGGCTGTGTCTCAGGAGTGTGCAGGCTCACATACTTTCTTGTAGTTCTCTCATTTTAACATTACCTGTTCTGGGTCTAAACAACTTAGCTGTTGTTATTTTCTGAGTGTACCTTGGGGTGGGTGGAGGGGTGTTTATACTGTATATTCAAAAAAAAATATGCTCTGGAGATAAACAGGGAAATGATATGAAAAGCAAAACCAAAATTATTTCTTCAGGTGCATGCACAAGTTGCAAGTCATCCATATTAATTCATTAGTAATGTATATTTGAATGAACTTTCACAAAACAGAGGAAACTTTTTTTTTCCTCAGTACAGTGATCATCTTGTTCTTCATTAAATGTATTTCATGAAATTTTTTAAACACAGCTATGTATATCTCTGAAGAATAGATCATTAAAATAAAACCTCAAGTGTGGAATGGTCTCTGTGATTTTGATATGTTTCTGTGAAAGGTATTTCAATCGTTAACTATATAAAACGGGAATATATTGCGTGAACGAATAGAAATGACTTTTCTGATCGCTGTATTATGTGAACACCCCTACTGGGAACTAGAAACTGCTTTACCTCTTTATTTTAAACAGATTAAATGGCGCGGCAGTTTCTTCATTCTTAATGTTGCATATAACTGAAGTGAATTAAATAGCCACTGTAGTTAAAAATAAAGAGAAACTGTGATAAGGATCATGATCCAAAGTATGGATTCTATCCTGAAGCAGTTCTTCAGCCACAATCGCTTCTGAAGTCACGGTCCCTGCTGTAAGTGCTTAGCCTGAAATGGCTAGGCTGGGCAAAAGGTAGAGTAGGAGCAAAGGACATCCCGTTTTACCAGCCTCAAAATCTGAATGAAATGAAAGAATTGTTTGCATTGGAGTTATGTTTGTATTTACCTTTAAGGGAATGTAACGGAGGTAAATAATGAAGCAGTTTTTTAATAAGTACTAAAAGTCAGAGCTTTCGAATGTTTTTGGCTGTTTAAAGCCTGGATTGTTTTTTATCGCAGCTCCATTATTAGTGCTTGCTTTGTTTGTGTGTAGTCCGCATTTTCCAGGAAGAAAGGGCCAAAAATATGTCTACTAGTTTGTAATGCTCTTATCTTCAGCTTTTTTCCCTGTTTTTGGAAAAGAGTGCGTGTATTGCTAAATCTGTTGTCAAGGATGTGATAATTGCCCTTTTGCTTTTTGTTTTTTTGCAGTGCCAGTGCTAAGGCTGCCCCACTGAACATTAACAAGGTCTCCAATAGCTTACTCAACTTTGGCCGAAAGCTCATTGCTCCAGCCATGGCGTCAGGTAGCGCTGTGGGCCCTCCCGGCATTGGGGGCGGCGGCAGCTTCCCTCCCGCTGCGATGCCCGTCAGAGGCACAGTGGAAGCCCCCCAGTATCACCACCACCACCACCACCACCAGGCACAGCAGCAGAGGATGATGAAATCCGAAAGCATGCCGGTCCAGCTGGGCAAAGGTAAAGGCCTAAGGCAGTTGCACAACAGCAGAAAGCTTTGTTATATACCTTAAGGACTGAAGAAAGTCCTTTTTTTTTTTTTTTTTTTTAAATAGAACGATACATATTTGGAGGACTAAGAAAAAAAACTTTTTGGTAAATAGTAGGTATATAGAACAGCACGTTTGCAATGTAATGCAGAATTAGATGCTACTGTCAAGAGTGGACAAACACTGCAGAAAGTTTTGAGCCTTTGAGGATGTTAACAAGAGATTATGTCAGACATACCAGCAAACAACATAACTACCATAAACGTTAGCTGTCTCTCTATACATTAGTTTTTCAGTCTTTTAAATACAATGCTTTTTTAACTGTAAGACTAGTTTCATATAGTTTTTTTACAGGTTATTGGCACAAATCCCATACATAACAATATTAGCTAAGTACAAGTGAAGAAAGTTGGGTCACTTGCAAAGTCGTTTTTGATAAACAAAATCTTATTCCGTTTAGAATAGTAGGGACTTATTTGAGAAGTTATTTGAACAATAGCATTTGCCTTTTAATAATTTGTGATGGTCTTCTGCCCTTTCTCTGTTTAATAAATGCCACTTTTTCTGAAGGCTTTTCTTTACATTTCTTGAGGACAGTTTATTCAAACAACAAAGTCACAAGCTCAGCTTCAGTACTTGTTTCTATACTCTGCTAGGCTCAAGGTGTATTTCTGTTTTTCATCCTAAGACAGCCTGTGGTGGTGTGTTCTCTACTAGAAGTATGTAGAGTGATACTGCATCAGTTTGAGGGCTGATGCTGGTTCACTTGAGCCACTGCATAGTATTGCATCTTTGTTATTACTATTGTTATTGACCACATTTGAAAGTATAAGAGAAGGGAAATAATACTTTACACCTCTGTAGCTCTGGTGTTCTTTTTCTTTCCCATGGCACCCGTATGGTCCGGACTCAGTCCTGTCACGATGCATTGCATGCCCAGCAGAAACCAAGTGAGCAGAAATCAGAAGTACAATTATAGCAGTGTTTCTTTTCCAGCAGAGATATGCAGGCACTTTTGTGAGAGTCACTATAGTTGCTTGACAAATTCCAGATAGTAGCTTCTCTCTGATTCCTAGAACAAGCTCAGAAATTGCTCCCAGCCAGGCACCAACGCTGGGCAAACATGAAACTGAAAAGCAGGATTTTTTACTTTTTGAGTGGAAGGGTAGTCCTCAGGTGGTGGTTTTCTTTTCCTTCCTTCAGGTGAAAAGATGGTAAAATTTGAAACAACTTCTATAGTTGTGTAATAGTGTAATTTAATCTTGATCGAGCTGGCCAAGGATGACCTTGTTTAAACTTGAATTGTGCAACGTGTTAGCTAGCGTATATAAAAACAGACCTTATTTCTGTTATTACCATACTCTCTGTACATGAATTGAAATAAAAATTTGTAGTTATGCTGCAGTCATTGTCATGCACAAGCTGTGCACATATTTCTGTATCAACAGGTATACTGAGATTTGGTAAAGTTATCAAAAAATAGGCAAATTAATGACGCAGTTAGAGTAAAACCTGCTGTAACATTTCAGTACCTGCAGCTTCCTCTCACCCTATGCTGTCTATCCATATTTGGAGCAACACTTGCAGAAGTAATTTAAAGGCAACAAAGTATAAATTTACCCTTTAATCAATTGAGATGAAAATGAGTTTTGTTTTATATATTAGTGGCATGCACGTTGTTCCAGATTATATATACAGTTACCTGTGTATAACCTGCAGTTGGACAGTAATTCTGAGTGATGGTCACTAACTACATTTGGAAGTGCTTCAGTTTAAATTTTTAAAGAGAAGTCCAAATGTCAGTGGAAATATAAAGTCTCTTGGAAGCTATGCAGCGACTTCTCTCTGAAGTTTAAATACAGGAATAGCTTACAAAAAGAAATTCCTTATTTGCAATGACACTGTGATGGAGGTAGGCTAAAAAGACCCCTTTGAAGCCCAATGCAGATACATTTGTGAGCAACGTCATCTCCGTCAAGACTTAATTTTAAGTCTTTTAAATTCTTTGAGAAAAGAGAGTATCGCCACTTCGAGAAAGTGCTATAGGCTCTTTCCTATAGCTCCCAGGGAATGGAGGCACCTCACCGCAGCCCTGAGTGAAGTGATTTGGGGGACTGGGATTTAGGATATACCTAAATCCTGAGACTCTCTTACTCAGCTCGTTTTGTTTCTGCTGAACTTCTTAAGTGCCTTTCCACTTTGTGTACTGGCTTTTTTTGGAACTCTAGATTTTTCTCTGACTTTTGGGTACCTAAAAGCTACTTTGTGTGGTTTGTAACCATAAGGCTTCAAAGTTAGAAGGCCAGCTCTAACTAATTGTCTTCTATTCCTCTTCATCATTGTGTTTTCAGTTACACTTAACCTCTTCAAGCTTATTTCGTTAGCTGAGAGAGGCAGAAGTATGGAGTTAGGATTTAAATTGATAGACACTTATGCTTCCACTAGAACTAATACTCACACGTGCTCAGGTGGACAATGTAACGGACCAAAGTACTGTAAATCTGAGAGGCATCAAATTAATAAAAGAACTTACCCATTTTTCTCAGATTATATTTGCCCTTTCAGGTTTTGAGTGCTCAAGTAGTGCTGATAATTTAATTTAACTTGTAGAGGGTTGCTAAGTTCAAAGAGATGGAATTGCCTGCCTTAATCTACTTTGCATTAAGTGTGAGGAAGTCATTGGAAACAAAATGTCTTGCAGGACTGGCAAAGTAATCGCATCCCCAGTTCTGCAGCTTTTCTTTGACACTGTTACCACTCAGTTCACCAAGGAGCAGCAGTGACAGATATCACTGATGCTTCCACCTTAAGGGATAGCTTTTGCTGTGCTCAAAATGAGGGATGGTTGTTTTATATAAGCAATAGTAATTATTTCTTGCCATGAAATGTTTGTACTTGCTGAATTCCTATTAGAAAAATGCATATAATTTCGATAATGTAAGCGGAAAAACAGCAGACTAATATTAAAAACCATAATTGCAAGCCTGTAATTCCAGATCAGTCTTCTCTGTTACAAATCATAGCTGAACAAAGCATCTGGACACCTAATTGGAAATCAGTTTCTCCTAATAATATATAATATAATATATATATAATCCTATTTAGCCTGCCCTCAGCACAGAAGGAGGAGATTGAGTATCATTACTGATTACTTATGCAAGGTAGCCTGCAAATAGAAAAGGGATTAAAATAGTCCCTTGATCCTACACGGTGAAAGAATTAACTGACACAAAGGTTAAATTCAAATCTTAAGTTCATTGGACTGTAAGTTGAGCTCGTTGTCTTGAAAGGCCAAAAAAAATGGTAATGAGAGTGTCACGAGAAAAAAAGCAAAGTAGTTGCCCTTTGTGTTCCATAGGATTCTGGAGTGTACAGAAGCTGCATATTGTTTGCTTACCAACTGGCAATGTGTTGCTAGGAAAAAAAGAAACATTTCTCCTTCGCTTCATCCCTATGATGTTGACTCTACCCCATTTCTGTAATATTTAAACAGTAGTAGAAGATACAGTTTTCCTTCTAGATCCTTTCATTTGAATTGAAAGCCACTTTATCACAAGCACATGTTAGAGGACCAATTTCAAAATGAAGTTCTGCCAAAACTTTGGTCAGCTCTTTAGGACTTTTCCTGATTACCGTCTGATTTTATCAGTAGATATTGCTGAGCTATTTGTTGTAACACAAACAGAATTTTCAGTCACCTAATGTGCCCTAAAGAAAAGCACTCCATATTGACAATTACTTATGAACTTTGTCTAGAAAACAAGTAAGCTTTTGTTGAAGCAAAAAAGAAGTTGTCCAGCAGAAATAAGTAGTAATGAATAACATAAAATACTGATTAACAAATGCTTTTTTCCTTTTTTTTTAATATAAATATGCATACTCTTAGCTAATTATGAAATGTTACCAAGTTAGAATATGATACTCCCAAATCACAATGACACTGTCAGGGTAAAGTACCAGGAACAAAATGTTTTTGATGATTTGTTTTAATTCAAACTTTTATGTAAATCTGCCTCTGAAAAACACTACTTTTTTCCCTATGGGTATGGCATATAATATGCTGATCCTTAAATTTCCCATGCGTTTTTGCCTAATCTTACACAGTTTGCTCCCGAGATGCTCTGCGTTGGAATCGGCATCTTGCAGCGAAAGCAGAAGTTACAGGTCTTTACTTCAGTGATTTCTATTTGTTGGGAAAACCTTCTAATGTTTTTATTTGTTTACCAGGAGATGTAGTTACGGGCAGCGATGCTCAGGTGTCTGGCCCTGCGCAGCATCTCCCAGCCCAACCAGGTACGGTTGCTGTGGCAACGGGGAGCATTGCAACGGGGATGCCTGCAGCATCAGCGCTGGGCAGCCGAGGGACAGACCCACCGCCGGGTTTCTCTCATGTTGGCGGGTTTCCATCTCCAGCTCACTGCCATTGTCCATCCACCGAGCGGCACTGTTGCGTAGAGAACAAAAAAGCAGCTTCACTTCTTCCCTCCCTGACTCTGAGGAGTGTGGCTGAGACTGTGCAGTTACCCTCCTTGTCTGCCAGCATCCGTCTTTGTTAAAAATCTGTGTTTGCCATGTCTTTTGTGCTCGATTTCACACTGTGTCATGTGTGGCAATTTGACCATCCGTGTCGCTTTTAGTTGCATTGCTTCCCTGTAGTGGTATTTGAGGCAGATATTTTGGACTGAGCATCTACTTTTATGCCCTTTAAAGAGAAGCTTACCTGCCTCTCTCCGAAATACTAACGCACGTGTATTTGTGCGATGAGGAGGTTTAAATAAATTTTTAAAAAAATGTGATGCAAGCCTTCATTCTGATTTCAGTATAGGAAAAAAAGGGAAACTGCAGTTGGAAGTTTAAAAGTGTTATAAAAATCATATCATTCTTTTTGCAAACTGTAATACTCTGCGTCCTGACTGTGGCAAGTACAGAGTAACAGATCAGCAGATCTGAATGGTTTTGAGTTACAGATTGTACCTGTCTTCTCTTCTTTTTGGTATCTTGTCCTTCACTGTCTTTCTGACTACGAAAGCTGTTCTTTTCCTCTCGAAGGGACAATTGGGGGATCATCCTCAGTTTTGTGCCTTTTGTGCCTGTCTTTGTCTGACACAGATGACCTATATTTTAGCAGAGGCCTCCAGAGTTCATAGCTAATAGAGTTCATGTAACTTAATTTGAACGTAGTAAGACCTACAGCTTGTTTTTCTTTTTTCTAAGTCTTTTGCACTCCTCTTCTCAACTTCTTTTACTTTGTCCGTATTAGAGATCACATTAAATTTAAACTCTCCTCGTTTCCAAGAGCCTGCATGTCTCTGCCCTCTGCTCTGCCAGCAGTACCAGTGGTTCAGCTCCTTTTTTCGCTACCACATCTCTGTGTTTTCCAAATGGTTTTGAAACCGCCTTTATAACCCTGGGGTCAGACAGAACCCCAGCAATCTTTAGCAACAGGCAAGTAGTGAGCCAGCTAGAAGCCAGCACATGGAGATAACACTGCTCCTTTCTGTCTCAGAAGGGTATATATGTATTCCCACCAAATACTGGGAATTGTTCCTGTGAACTATTTTTGTGTGCATATGTGTTTTTTAAGCCATCCTTTGTGGTACTGTATGCTGGTGACTGCTTACCTCAGGAGTCCTTCGCTTTGGGTCCTCTGTTCCTTGGAAGCATTTATTTGATTTTCATGTTTGCGTTTTCTTCAGCTGGTTTTGTATAGGCTTTAGGAACCTCTGATTTATGTTTAGATGGTCAGAGATTAGATTTAGAACATGCTACTCTTACCATTTTTTAATGAGGTATAATGTATTTATCTGAGATTGATAGAATGAGCAGAGGAAAATTAGAGCTGTGATTAAGTGAAGTTCTCAGGTTGCTGACTGACTTGCTAAAGAAGAATGAGATATGTTCAGCTGGTTGTTAAATGTAGTTTATTGTTTCATTTTATACGTTGGTTGTAGGTTGTGGGTAAGGGTTCTTCTCTGTTTTTATTTGCTTTTTTTAACCTGAGCAATAATCTGAAATTAAACTCTCTCTTGAAGGATCTATCAGCTCTTGAGTGAGGAGGAAATGCCATGCTACCATTATGAAGCGTGCTGAATCAGTGAGACACACTACAGAAATGAAGCAAATGGCATTTTGTATTTAATCCTCCTAAAATCCTGAAATCTCTTCATTGGTGTTATTGTATTTCCAAATTATATGAGGGTTGTTAGTGCCTCAGAAATTGGTGCACACATAATACATCTAAAACACTTCAAAAGCCTCGTGGTGACTTCAGTTATGCAAACTCTCCTTGCAGCAGCTCCACTAAACTTCTTTATTGCAAGAGTTATAGGTAGCTTTCTTGCTACATTAGGCAAAATATGTATGATTGGTGTAGCTTTCAGCTTTTTTCTTATTTCCCGTTGTAAAATTGATGATATCTTTGGAAACTGGAAAGGCCTGTTTTAATGCAAGTCTGCTTTATGACTTGCGACTCACACTGTAATTCTTCATATGTGCTATTCTTTCTGTCTTATTTAAGTGTTAATCTCATCCCCCAAATAATCAATGTCACAGTGGTGCTCACAGAGTTGGAATCAGCATAAAATTTTAACTTTCATGGTAATAATTTTTTCAGATTTGCTTATTTGTGTAAAACAGTCAGATGCTGTTGATTGGCGTCCTAAGCTTTTTTTTTTTTTTTTTACTTGCCATTTGGTTATAAAACATACAGCAATAGTATTTTTTATAACTTCTGTTTCAATGTATCTCTGTCTTAGTTTCATAACATCTCATATTACTTTTATTTTCCATCTTCATTATATTTTATGGTTCATAAGAAATTATTCAAAGCTCTTAATTTTGTTTGCGCAAATTCCCTTTTGGAACAGTACTATTGTTCTGTCTGCAAAATCCTCATTATACGTATTTCTTCTCGTGTTTGGATATGCAAGTATTTGCATTTTTCATTTCTCTAAACTGTGATCCATCTTTTGCGGTCTAGATGTTTAATAAGCAAACATGCCAACAGCATAATCTGTCTTTTCAGTTTATTATATTTCAGACTTTTTTCTGTGGAACTAAAAGAAATATAGAAGAGAATTCCTTTCAGAGCATTTTCCGTTATTTCATTAAGTTATATTTTGTTGTGTTTTATGTGCCTCTGTTCCTCAAAAATACTTAGTGTCCCTCTCTTATTGACTGTGTCTTTGAAATTTTGCTACATAATCTGCTTATTCAGATGTGAAGCAGTTCAAGCACAGGCCATGCAGTGGAGAAGTATGTGAAAAACATACATTGCTACTCATTTACCAACATTTTTCTTCTTTTTAGTCTTAATCCAGTGTGATATCTTCTCATTACTAAGAAGAAAAACTCATTTAGTCTAATTTATACATAATAAAATATTTTTCATTGTAATTTATTCTGTCCATGAAATAGATTTTTTTATGTTTAGCATTTGTATTTGATGCTGTGTTTAGCTGTATGTGAATTTCCTTTATAAACATCTTATTTGCTAAATTGTCATTCCATTTGTCTCAAAAGTATTCATAAATTTTGCCTAATGTAAAACCGCACTTACTTACATTATAAATTGCCACTGCAAAATGTATGAAAAGTCACCTTCTTACATGAAGGCAATTGTAAGGATGATAGGGTTTGTTGCCAAGTGACATAATTTTATCCTAAAACTAGAAATCCTCTTAGAACTTCCTTGTGACTGAATTATTTCTTCTGTTTGCTACGCAGTGTTTTTTCCTTTTCCACCTCCAGAATTATTTACAGAACTGGAGATTCGTGTTCACCTAACTAATGTGTATCCTATTTTTCTATAAAATGGAAAGGCAAAAGTTCAGTGAGCTTTTATAGCCTCCATCTGCTTCACTTTAAGGAAGCTGTTAAGGATGTTGTGTTCAGACAAAGCGGTAGATGGTAAGTGGCAAAATGAGAGCTGGGAAGAAACAGGAAAATGCAGAGGGGAAGAAAGTTGGGTGGAAGGGAAGAATATGGAAGAGAAAAAACTTGGACAAGAAAGTCAGAGAACTGGCAAAGGCGATGCGGAGGTGTCTGCAGGAAAGGAAGAGGCCGACAGAAGAGTGTCTGCAAGAGTATGAGGAGGATGTAAAGTGTAGGAGACTCATGGGAGAGAAGAATAAAATAGGGTACTAGAGAACGAAAGAGAAAAGGGGAACCAGTTTATATACCGTCTTTATTACTTCTAGAAAACTTTGAGAATATTAACCCAGCTCCTTTTCTGTTTTTTGTCCTTCTTTTCAGTTGGTTTTGTCACGTGTGTTGTTTTATTCTTTGCTAGGTCAGTCCGTTCTCATTTAATGATCTTCTTTCTGCGATCACGTTTTGAATAGATCTGCATTTATTCCCTTTAAGAAAATGCGGGTTGCTAGCTGCATGTGGCTGTGGCAGCGCAGTGTAAGGTGCGCTGGTCAGAACGCCCTCGAGAGCTGAGCTCAGGCTTTGGCGCTACCCTCAGGTGGCCCCGGCCAAGTGGGGCCGCGCTCACTTCCACGCCGCCTAGGGCCACTTGCCATTCTAGATCTTAGGTGACCGAATAACATTAAGATGCGTATGAGTCGTTTTGCTAGTTGTTTACTTTTGTCTCGACATTGCTGGTTACCTTTTGTATCTAAAGCTGAATTTCTTTTCGTGTTTTCTGCAGCCTTTTCTGTCTCTGTTTTCTTTCATTTCTTTGCCTTTTAGTTTTCTTTTGTTTCTGTAGAAACCTATGTCAAGGGGGAAGACTGCAGTGCATAGTGATGGGGAGGTTCTCACCTGTTCCGGAAATGGAGTCAGTTTTGTGTTTTCAGCATTGTTAGTGCATCCACAATGACAAAACACTAAGCACACTGGAAGATGTGTGCAGTAACATGTGGCATACCTGAGAGTAAAATTGGCGTAAAAGGTTGGAGCAGTAGCAGCTCAGGCCGAAGAAGGGTGAACCTCTGGCACACACCCAAGAAACAAAAGGAACAAGCAGGAAAGTAAACAGACGCATGAATCAGAATAGCCAGCAAAACTAGAAAAGACAAAGACCTTAAGACTTTGTTTTTGTATGTCATTTTACTTCTCTTCAGAATAGAAAGTTCTAGAACTGCCTTATATCGTGCTAGATTGACTTCCACATATGCGTAATGGAAAGGTTTTCTCAAAACTAGCATCTGTCTAGATGCAAAGTTTTCTTAATTAAAGTTATTGAGAACTGACATACTGCTTTTAATTTCAGAGCTATTCAAATAGTATTTTGAATTAAATATCTCCAAACCTTTGGTAGGCCTCAGCTGGAAATAGTGGTCCTTGTCAACAACTTCTCGGCTATATCTAGTGTCATGCTGTAATACCTCAGGCATCTTCCTAGTCAGATATCTTCTCGACGGCAATGGACAACAGTAGATTCTTTAGAAAAGATGCATGAAATGAAAATAAGCAAATACTGATGAGGTTTCATTAAAATCTGTTAGGGGTTAGGCTTTAAAATGTGAAGCATGCTAACTTAAATTCTTTCCCAACTTTTCTTATTGTTTCCTCCTATAAGCCTAGAGATCACCTGGATGTTGAATGTCCAACCTATTCTTGGAACCTGATGTTCTTGTTCTCAGTTTTGTTAAGTGTTATAACTTATTTGTTGAGAAGAAAAGGATTTCCTTTCCTTTGAGGTGTCTTTAGCTCATTATGAGGTAGAGAGAGAAGAAGCTCCTCAGTCTATGGATATAATGCAGTATGTATATTGGGATCATACTGTATATATAATATGTAGTATATATGTATATACTATATATATAGTACATGTGTGTGAGTGTGTGTGCACATATATATATATACACACATATAGACACACACTGATTAGGATTTTATATTTTTCTCTTGCATAAAGTTTTGTGTATATCAGAATAGTTCTTCAGTCTCGCAATGCATGCCAACATGCTTCAGAATTTCATTCGATGTTGAACTGTCTGTGATTCTCAGTGAATGTCAATTGAGACAGGAAATATTTACAGGAAAAGCAAACTGTCCGTTGATTAATTTTTTGTTACTTTATGCTTATTTTACAGGCCAAAATACAAAAAACATCAGTTCATCTCCAAGCATAGAGAGCTTGTCTGGAGGACGTGAGTTTACAGGATCTCCTCCTTTATCTGCATCCAAAAAGGATTCCTTTTTCAGTACAATCTCGCGTTCCCGTTCCCAAAGCAAAACTATGAGCAGAAAAGAATCTGTGAGTTCTTTAACTTTCTAAGCTACTTTAATGTCACGCTGCGTTGCTTGTTAGAGCCATTTCTCTCATTCATTAAGCCCTCGCACTTGAAAATGTTTCCCTAAGCACAAATTAATGGCAAAAAGCAGAACTAAGCTATTTCAACTGTTTCCGTTGAGTAACATCTCCATTATTGCTTTCATCCCATAATCTTACTTAAAATGAAACTGTGAAAGTGCCTGATGCATCTGATAAGGAGGAAGGAACTCCTTTAAGTTTATTTGCTTCGTTAGACTTTTGGTGTAGTCCTGAAGTTAATAAACAGTTCGGTGGGGAGCACGAATGCTCAGCAGATCCAAACATGCCCATCTGTTGTCCTGAAATTCCCTAACACATCAGAGGTTTCCCAGTGTCTGTAGCATCTGCAGTCTGTAGTCACAGTTTTATTTCCTGCACAGTCCTGACCTTCATCTAGCCGTAAGAAACTTTTATTTAAACAGATTGTTTTAATCTGAGAAAATCTATTCTTGTATTAGTGAGTGCATGCAAAAAAAATTCTCATCCCATCAAAGAACTTTTAGGAGCATTAATTTGATAAACCTCTTACGCCACCATGCAGGAAGAGTCTTGTTTATTTTGTATATAGGTTTCCCACCGCCTTTCTGCTGATCAGAAACTAACTACGTAATAGACAGGAAAGGGTGTGTTTTTTGTGAGGTGGAGGCAGTGTGATTTTCTCCATTCCGTTTTTGCAAATTTATATTCATCCAATCTCCCATGGATTTCAATAAGTAGAAATTGTCATAGCAATATTTCTGTATTACATCATTCTTCAGGTGTTCGGAGATCTTAGAAATGCAGAGCTAAAAATGGAGTAAAAATGTAATCTGAATATCATAGCATTCTAGTCTTTAGACAGAAGAATATTTAGACTAATAGTCACATCATATTTTCAGTTTGATATTTAAAATTTTCTAAGGAAAATTTTTCTAAGGAAATTCTCAACTTTGCACAACTTTGTTCAGATTTTGTTCACTAAAAGAGAGAGTTTAATTCTTTTTCCATATATTTTAACATTGCTGTATTTTGAGGTTAAACAAGAAGAAGATTTAATTTTGGTTTGTGGGCATTTCTGAGGTTTGAACTGAATTTAAAGCTAAAACAGCAACTTAACATCTGTCTGCTTGTTCTCATGGGTTAAAGAAAAATAAAAATACCAATGCTATCCTTTTTTTAACATGTTTTAACAACACCTAAATCCAATTTTAATTTACAAACTTTAGCATGACCAAAACTTTTTTTCTTGCACTGATATAGTTTCAGAATAATTTTTCTCCTTTGTTCGCTAATAATAGATGTAGATTTTTTCATGATACCACTCATATTCAATTAGAATCCATTAAAAATTGGTATGTTTTTCAGTTAACTCATTTCCCAAATTTGTGAAATTTTATTATTTTTTTTCCAAATATTTTGGAAAAAGAAGTATTCATTGGAACAGACTGTAGTCTTTATGATAACGTTCAGTGGATTTGTAATCAAGCACAGCATAAATTTTCAAAAGCGTTCTTTTAACTATGTGATATACTTTATAATGTAACTTATGACAATTAAACAGGCAGAAAAGGTTTTAGGCTACCAAAATCTATTTCCTTATATTTGATTTTTGACTGCCTTCTTATATAGGAGAAAGGAATTTATAGCAGCAGATCAACTACCAAGAGGAAAATGTTTATATAAATCTGTTCTGTATTGCTGAAGATGATGATTGTATTTTATTTTCTCCTATATTTCATGATACCTAGTTTTCCATGTAAAGAAGAAACCACAAAGATTTAATCCTAAGATCCCAAAAGAGTTGCATTAGCTATCTCCAGTCTTACTTGTCTGGAGACAAAAGCAAGCAACGGACTTTACAACGTAAGGGATTCACATCCTTGTTTTTTGTATAAAACTGACCTGATTTAGATGTGTACATTATTGTCTAATAATTATACAGGTTATGTTAATGAACAGTGGAGAAATTACCTTTACTGGAGTACAGCCATGCATCAATCACTTTATTAAAAGGTATTTTTTAAATCAGCCGTTCTTGGCACAGTGAATGAAGGAGATTCCATTTCCCCGTCATCTTTTTACTCCTAATTAATGCCTTTACCAAGGACAGTGGGAGTGGAACACGTACATAAAAATATGACCTGCTACATGGGTTTAAAAAAGAAGTGATTATCGCAGACCAGGAACCATTTATTGTTGTTGTCATAGGATGGACTGGAGCGTCATCATCACAGAATAAACTGGAACGTGACATGTCTAAATTTTTTCTCCTAAAGCCTGTCTGACATAGTGGACTTCTTGTAGAAGAGTTATAGTCAAAATTGATACTTAACCAAGAACAGGATGCCTCCATTTCTCATATTGAGGACTTCTTAAGGTAGTAACATTTGTGTTAGATTTAGCTTTCTAAAATTTTATTTTCTCTCAAATCCAAAGACCCACGGCATGTTTTTTTTTTACTGCTGTTGTCAGAAACAACATTATTTCGTCAGGGCAGTGAATCTACAGCCTCAGGGCTAAATACACACTACCAGATCATGCTTTGGCAATTCATGTCAGTCTGATGTTTTTCACGTTGTTATTGAGTGGTGCTTAAGGTGTATGTTAAGGTGAGGCCCACCAAATGTGTTGAAACTCTGTTTTACACTCAGCAATGAAATGATTCCCTACCTTTTTAGGTTAGGTTAGGTTTATAAGGTTCCCTACCTTATATAGGTTACTGCTTTCTGATAGCAGTAACTTAGGTTGCAATTTCCAGAGCCATCTTCCCATACCTCTGAACAGGAAAAGGATAGACCGTTATCATCTTAACAGGACCATTATCTTCTGGCAAGGTCCATATTGCTGCAATAAAGTCCTAGAAAATTTCCTGTCATTGCTTGCCTACACTCTTCTCATTTTCAGCCAAGTTGGGAAACTGAGTACATTTCTGGTCCTGTTATTTCTCATTAAATGTAATTTACTTCTCCAGCAAGCATTAAGAACAAGTCAGTTCCTCTTTTTGGCAAATAGCAAAGCTTATTAGACCTTGATTTTGGCAAATATATTTGGCTAGTCTCAGTTTCTGGCAGAAAATTCTGCAAATGGCTCTTGGTCATAGAGGTATGCCAGAGAGGGAACTGTTGGGTCAACCAACATAAACATTTTTAAAACTTTCGTAAAAGAAAAGCAAGAGAAAGATAGTTTTGACTGAATAGAATGTTTTGCTTCGGAGAAACTGTATGTTTTAATAAGGTAAAACTGTAAGTAAAAGGTTTCAAGTTAAGAAAAAATAAATGGTACATTTTGAAAATATATTAATTTAAATGTTCCCCAAAATGAAACATTTCTAGAGAAACTCTGGAGAAGTTTATTTTCTTTACTGGAACAATTTGCAAACGTGGACGCATTCATGAAACGTTTTGAGCAATCAGAATCTTCATTTCTTAGCAAAAAATTCCTGAACAAAAGTGTCATGTATCATGCTGGTTTTGATTATATAGACTTGTTAATTAAATCAAATTTGACAACATATGCTGTTATCCCCACAAGCAGGTAGAAACAACTGTTACTGTTTGTGATTTACATAGCTAGTTTGGCTGTTTTGAAGTTAGCTATGAGTACATCTACAAATTAAAAAATTAATGTATGCCATTATTTTAAATTGAATAGGCATCTGCTCTGCTGATTTAGGAGCCTAATTTTAAGCATACAAACTTGACAGTTTTGCTCAAACAGCAGTAGCATAAAAAATCAAAAGGCTAATACAAGTACTAGCGACCACAGAAAGCGGTCATGCATGCAAAAACTCTTTTGAAGAAGATCATGCCTTTTGTGCATGTTGCACGTCTTGGAGACTTTTTTATTCCCATGTATCTTTTTCCCTGAACTACCCATTTTAAAAAAAAATCTCTTTAAGAGGTTGTAAACAACGTATTTATGTCCATCTGTATTTATTCATGGTGCACATTTATTTGGAAATACAAATACGGTGATGAAATGTCCTTTTTTAGTTAAGCATCATAAAGTGTGCCTAGAATAAGTTAGCATCTGTGTACAATAGCTAATTGCTTGATCAGTATGTTGGATTTCCTGGCCTAAAGTTAAAGACATGATGGTTGTTCTGAGTGCATTAAGTTTAATGAACTTCAGTGCCTTGATGTTGAACTGCAGTTAATACTGTAGGACGTTTGTCTTTGTTATTCCAGTATGATAGGCGAAAGTCAGTTCAGACACCTGAAAAATGTCATTTATTTACTATTTCAGCACTAGTCTAATTTTAGAGGTAGACTAAAAGACTATTCAATTTGAGGTGCTGCTAGGTCGTGTAACAGACTTCATAGAAATACAGCTGAGACATTTTGGAATTGTGATGCTCTTCTCAGTTTCCTTCCTCAGACACCCACAAAACGCTACTGCTCAAATAGAAGAGCTGTAAACGGTACAAGGAAAAATAAGCTGCCTTTTAAAGTTTTTTATTAGAAATACTTATACATTTCATATAATTTAGTAAGAAGACAGCTGTATGCATGAATGGCAGTCTTGAAGTCTAATGCTCCTTATCTTTTTTGGAGCAATTCATTTCAAGGAAGAAAACTGTACTGTGATAAAAACAGGAAGTTAAGTGCTTAGAAAAGAAGATGAATAAAAATCCAAGTGGCTCTGCAGGGCTTTTTCTGTCACATAGTGAGCAATAAACATGTACACAGAGCAAATCTGTGGGGCCATTTGGAAGATTTTAAAAACGTCAGTGTAAACTGTTGTCTTTCTCTGGCTACAAGAGATCCAAATAAATGCAGCTGAATTTTACATACCAGTAACTTGCATAGAAGCAAGTTAGAACTATGAAATTTAGAAAAAGTGGTAAGAAATTTTTAAATTATTGGACTATTAAGGAAAAATTTTAAAATATCAAAGTCATAAATGACTGAGAATATCAGCAATATTTTCGGAAGAATCAGAGTGACTTAGGAGTCAAAAAGTGT